TTTATTGCTACAAGAATAGATCATACCCTCAAAGGTTTAGGGCTTATCTATAAAGTTCACTGCCTCTGCTTACCCTGTCTCCTATTCAACTATTATTGGTTAACTGCTTCGCAGTTGAGCTGCCTCAATTGCAGTTTATAAGGCATTGATAGAACCGTCAGACGTCTTAGTAGCTATCTAAAGTTGCTTTAACAGGTACTTGTGAGACTGTTATAAAGATGCATGTCTTAAAAGTTAAAGCATAAATGATATTCTTTTATTACATTACAATCTCGTGTTGTGGTGTGCTGTGTGCTTTGTCCAGATTGCTCCTACGTGGTTGATTTTCTTAGGTTCTGAGGAGATGTGTAGTTTTGGGAGAGGGAACTCTAGAACACTGTATTCTTATATTTCTTCTGCATTTATTTCCATTATTCAAATTTCCTTTCTTCTGTGTGTAACGAATGATCTGCATGTCTTATTAAACTAAACTCAGTAAGACTAGACTTTAATTTTTTTAGCATAGTCACCTTGTGTCCTTATTGACAAAATGTTAGATTGTTTCAAAATTAATTTTTTCAAAATAGTCTCTCCTGTTCACATTTGTGGATAGAGGGGAAGGATTTAGTCTTTTAAAAACACATCATAAGACTTAAAATAAAATTTTTTTAACAAACTAGCAACCTAGAATCTTTTCTTCTGTAATTTTGAACACGTATATATAACTGGCAATTGGTTACCTATATTAACTATAACTGCAGGTGTTTCATACAAATCGAGAACTTATTTTTTATTTCAAAGCAATTAATGTTGTCAACTTCATTGATTCCTATAATATTTATTTTTTTAAGTTCTGAAATATTTTGTTCCATATTAATACTATGTTGCATTGCTATTAATTACAAGCGTTGCTATAGTCTAAAATATTTATATTCTCATTTTTATATGAATCATATGCTAACACATAAACTATCATCATGTGTAATGCCTATTTCAAATCTAATTATGAGCACTAGATATATTTCGAGCAGCACAATTAAACTACACAGTTAGTACTTACTGTTTAAATAGTCTGTATACTTATATCTGGGGAAAAAAAATATAGCAAAATGACTTTGTTTTTCAAAATGGAAAATAAATTCCCTCAGCATTTTTCTGGTGGTGAAATTCTTAGTAATGTGCTGCTCTATTTCCCTCACTCCTAGTAAGTTCTGTAGTAATAAACAGAAGCTCTTCAGAACGTACACCTTACGGAAGCAGAGGTACCCAGCATCCCAGCTATTGACATGAGATTTGAGAATGCCAACTAACCTCAGGTGCATGACCAGGTTACACGCCACCCCACTTGAGCCCTGTTCAGAGACTCACTCTTCCTAGGGACTTCTTGAATGAGGTTTTCAACCCGCTTGTAGTATTCCTTGTTGCTTGTTGCCTGCTTTGATACTCTCTACTCGAGAAACACAGTTGTCTTAATGGCAGGGTCCCGCTCAGTACTGTCAGTCAGCCCCTTGGCGCCTCCTTGTGGTGGGACAACTGCTGAGCTGCTGCACGCACTGGATTGTTATGGCTCAGTTGCCATATTGTGCCTGAGGCGAGAATTTGTAGAATGCTTATCCTATGAAGGGCTAAAACCCCTAATTAAGTATAACAATAACTACAGCATTCTAAGTCCAAGAGGATTAATGTGGGGTTACAGTGATGCCACACAATTCCCTGGCAGGGAACAACCAGTAGTAGACTGCATGCTGAGCTATTTGGGTAACTCGTACATCTGGTTCCTAGAGAGGGAAGAAGTCCCTTGCAGAGCAGTTGTGCAGGCTCCCCCTGAGCAGAGTCCTCAGCTGGGAATGTGAGACTGCATACTAAGAAAGATGCTGCAATTGATGGCCACAGTGACCTTTTGGTTACTGTCTCCCAAGAGAGAGCTCCTTCTTGGTCTCCTGGGGAAAATC